ACGTTAGAGGGAAGCCTTATCAGAGCAGATTGAATGTTGTTCTTAATTTGTTTAATAAAATAAAGAAAACACAAAACTTCCAACTAGAAAGAGGTCGTGCAAGAGCAACGGGACCAAAACTTAATGCTACCCTTCAGTTTTTGGCCTCTGGTTCTTTTCAAGACATAATGAGGTTTTATGTTGTCCCTCAAACCTTTTCAGATATTTGACTTAATGACATTTAAACTGTCAGCACCACTGACTGTCCACGAGATTTTCCTCAGATCATTGATCCTCATTGGGACTTTAATTTCTGACTTTAATTTTAGAATTCTGGAAAAGAAAAGACAAAAACGCGCCTACTTTTTTTTTCCAGTGGCCCTAATCCTCCTCCTCCTCCTTCCATAGACCTACAGCAGTGTACGTTATGTAGGCTTTGCAAGCAGACTTGATGATTTTCAAGTATTTCACCAATATTGCTTCATTCCAGCAGCTGACACCTCCACTGACCCTACCCCAACCTCTCCTCCTGCTCCCTCTCGTTGGTTTGCCATGCTTCCAATGATTGTGCGGTCACAAAAAGGTACATTAAAAAAGTCCAATATCGAGTTTTCAGACAGACACAAAATGAGATTAGATAGTATATAAATATTAATCTTGGATGTCTGTGAAGGTTCTCAGTCATCCGGGTCATGGTTGTCTAAGGAGCTTGGAAAGAAAATGACTGGACTTTCATTTCATGAAGATTAAATTTTAATCCTTAATCTTGGATTTTAACAGTTTTGTTGTTTAAGTTAAATAAACAAGTCGCATTGTCTAGCTGTTTTGCACAAAAACATTGATTTCAGATTCTCCAGCCATCAATCCTTCAATCGTCTTCATAAAACAAAAAATATTAGTAAATATTGAACATTCAAGTTCATAGTAAACTCTTTCAGTTTGCCGTCTCTCTATGAAGAGATCTGAAGTGCCACCTGACTGTACGACCTTGATCAACTGTTCTGTCCAGGGTGTGCAGGTCTTTTAACCGGACCAGCCATCTTTTAAAGGAAAGTGCGGCCACTGATTCGGTTTTTACGGTAGAGCTTGCTATAAACCAGAAGAGGAGCAGGTAATGTGAGGTAGTGAGGAATTAACCTTGGCTGACTGCACCGTGCTCAGCTGCTACAGTTACATCATTCCAGGTCATGTCACTTAAAATGTAACCTGCCTGTACAGCTGTGAGACAAACATGAGAAAACCCTGCCTGAATAAACACACCTCAGGTCATTAACACAACATTAAACCTTCATTATAAGAAAAATCATAAAAATGCAATTGTGGATTTAGCCTGATTGAATACCTGCTCATTAAAACAACAAATATTTAAGTTGAGGTCATCTTTAAATAATAATAATGCTCTAGATCGTTAAAAAGCTGTAATCATTGTGTCCATTCAAAGAATAATGCCCGTATGCTTCGTACACACACATATGTGTTATTCTATCACTGTGAGGACCCTGGCTTACACCATGCATTGCTAGTATTCTAATCTATAAAGCCTAA